TTGTTGACTCATGATCAGTTTGTGACATGCTGTCCTTTGCAAATCCTTTTCGCCTAGGATTGCCGTATTAATGATCAGTCCCTTCAGTGGCTATGTACACTGCAGTTCTCTTATTGGAATATTAGCATATATTTTCAGACCGCTTCCTTGTCTGATAAAATTATTATGAATTCTGCATTCTAACGGTGTTCTTTGGCATACTGGTGTCGCATTGTTTGCATGTTTAATAATAGCAATGAATGCAGGAAAGATTGTACCAAAAAGTGATTCTTTTCAGTAGCATATTGCTGTGTGGATTAGGTTTAAGATGCTCGAGGTACTTTCAAATATATGATTGAAATCTGATTTCAGCACATTGTCTTTTACAGTACATTTATTTATATATTTATATTTTCTTTCAGGCTGGCAGTATGAAGAGGAAATAGTAATAAGGTTTTATTGAAATGTACCTGCCTCTCATATTTGTAACAGTAATCTGGAGAAAATGTATCTCTCCTGTCATGGAAATTTAGGCAGCTCTAAGTTTCAATTTTGTGGGGGGGGGGGGGGGTACAGGAGAGGGAGGAATATGCAACAACAACTAGATAATGTCACTGACTGGCGGGCAAGAGTCATTGACACAATGAGAAGCCAGAGATCCTCTACATGCCAAGGCCTGAGGGCTTAATTTGATATAGTCTCTGAAGGAGTGGATTAATACTGCAAGAAAGTGTAATGGTCCAGGAGTAGAAAAATGTGTTTCTTGCACTAGTTTGTTGGGTGTTGAATCTGCATATACAATCCCAATTTCTTATATCAATGTTGTTGAGAAGCAGGCAACCAGGCTTCTAAACAAGTCAGCAGAATGGCAAATGCTTTTTTCAAGTGAAAAAAATTGTTACACTGTATATCTAAAACATGCTGATGAACATCTCCCAAATTGTTTTTCATAACGTGTTGCTTTCATTTTACAGAAATTTATAAGGACATTTTACTCTGATACGTTTCAAAATCCTCTACCCTTCTTCAGGAATAAATAATGTTAAATCATTCTGCATAGGGTGGCATTCTAAGCTTTAGTTTCCAGCCTTCTTCCTGTATCTTCTGTCCCTCCAGCCTTCTTCACATACCTTCCTT